GTCAATGTCACTGAACTGTGCATGTAGAAATTTTTGAAATGGTGTATCTTTGGCTATGTGTATTTTCACCAAAAAAAAAAAAAAGGTTGAGAAGTTAGAGGGTTGGTATGTTGTGGGGTTGTGTTAACCAATGTCACAAAACAACATGTGTACTTCTGTTTCATGAGAAACTATTTGTTCTGTAAGCCTTCACCTGAAGTACGATTAAAAAAAAAAAAAAAAACAGGCGGCCAGCCCACAGGCTGTAGTTTGCCAACCAGCGCCCATGGAAATAGCAGTCAGGAAATCAAACGACATATTGCATTGGGCAAATCTGCTGCCAAAGACCTCTTTAAAGTCTTAAAAAGCAAAGATGTCACTTTGGGACTAAAGTGCACCTGACCCAAGCCATGGTACTTTCAGTTGCCCCATATGCATGTGAAAGTTGGACAGTGAAAAAGGATGACCAAAAAAGAATAAACGCGTTTGAATTGTGGTGTTGCCGAAGAATGTTGAATATACCATGGACTGCCAGAAGAAAGAACAAACAGTCTTGGAGGAAGTACAGCTAGAATGCTCCTTAGAGGCAAGGGTGATGAGACTGTGTCTTGCTTGTTTTGGATATGTCATCAGAAGGGACCAATCCCTGGAGAGAGACATCATGCTTGGTAAAGTGAAGGGTCAGCAAAAAAAGAAGACCCTCAATGAGATGGATTGACACAGTGGCTGTAACAATGGGCTTAAATTTAGCAGTGATTATGAGGATTACGTAGGTGTGGGCAACATTTTCATTCTGTTATACGTAAGGTCTCTATGAGTTGGAGCCTACTTGATGGTACCTAACAACAACAATAATAGTAAAATTAATAATGATTAATAAGAAGTAATATTATAAATAATGATTTATAATAATCAAAGTAACATTAAGTACTTACCGTATGCCAGGTACTGTGTTAAGTGCTCGATGTTCGTTATTCTTTTAATCTTCACAGTTCTTTGGTAGATGCTTTTGTTCTTCCTGTTGTATCGATGAAGACACAGGCTTAGCAGTTAAATAACTTGCCAAGATCTCAGTGCTTACAAGTGGTGGGACTGAAACTTGAAATCAGGGCTAATTGAGCCCAAAACCTAACCTGTATACCAGGTTGATTTATGTCTTTAATGTACAGAGTATATTAAGGTTTTAAACATTTAAACATGTATGATAAGAATTAGTTTTGTGTGTTTGTTTGTAGCTATGGAAGTTTTAAATTATGTGGGAAGAGCTGATGGAAAGAGAGGCTCCTGGAGAACTGGTAAAACTGAAGCCAGGTAAAGTTTAATTAAATTCAGTTGATAAATTTAACTAGACTTTTTCTTTCTATACTGCATTTTCATACTGACAGTTTCTTTCTCAGGAATGAAGATGAAATGTATAAAGTTCTCTTGAATGATTATGAATATCGTCAGAAACAAATCCTATTGGAAAATGCTGAACTTAAGAAGGTTTTACAGCAAATGAAAAAGGAAATGATTTCTCTTCTTTCTCCCCAAAAGCAGAAACCTAGAGAAAGAGCTGATGACAGTACAGGAACTGTAAGTGGCTCTTTTCTCTCTAACTGATACAGTTTTCGGATTGCTAACCTAGAATAACACTAGTTAGGTATTGTGAGTGGGAACACTATTGGTATTTTGAACGGGACACTCACTGCTATGCTACCCTAGTCATAGTGACAACCCAAAAAAGTCCCTATATGTTTCTAGATACACTTGGTGTGGAGATGATTTTGGAGGGATTTAATCTGTGATAAGCACTTTAGAAGCATTGTCTCATTGCGTTCTTAAAATAATTTGACGATTTAGATACTATAATTGTCCCTGTTTTATAGATGAAGTAAGTGAAGCACAAAGTGCTTTAGTTGTTAGCCCATATCCCATAGCTAGTTAACGGCAGAGCTAGGACTGAAAGTCTGTCTCACCCCTGGGCTCGTGCTCTTAACCCTTGTGCCAGGCAGCTTCTAAATAGTTTACAGTATGTGTACTTAAATGCAGGCTCCACTTTTCAGAGAGTGAAACTTTGTTATCTTTGGGAACCAAATAATCATTCAGTCCATACATTTATTGAATGTTCATTACATTTATTGAATATTCATTGTGTTCTAGTCCCTGGAAAGAAAAAGCTAAAGATTTTTATTGTTTCCCTCAAAAAGTTCTTTTTTGGGGAAGGCAGGTGTATAGAGAAGTAATTATAACGTGTTAAATGTTATAATTAAAAAATCTGTTGCCGTGGAGTCAATTCCAACTCATAGCGACCTTATAGGACAGAGTAGAACTGCACCATAGGCTGGTGGATCTGAACTGCAGACCTTTATGGTTAGCAACCGTAGCTCACCGTAGCTCTTAACCACTGTACCACCAGGGCTCCAAAAATATTACAATAGGGTGATACAGTATGTTAAATAAAAGTTATGGGAATCAAGGAAGGCATCTCAGACAAAGTGACATTGGAGTTCGTTCTTTAAAAATGAGTAGGTGTTTTCGAGGTAGAAGGCATTCAGTGTAGGAGGAATAATACACACAGAGGTCTCAAAAAACTTAACAAAATGGAGAAAAATTCCACTTAATTGCTTTACATGTAAGCTTAAATTCTGTGTTGAAGCAAATTCACATTAGTGATTAAAATCTGAAAATAACACTGTTTATGGAAAGTGTTAGCTACCAGCCAGTCACCTGAGCTTGTTCAGCCTGTATTTGAGGATTATTTATTTTGTGGTATCACAAATCAGCCCAAACTGATAAGCCCATCGCACCCCCTACCATCTTTCTTTCTTTTTTTGCTTTTTGCTTCTTGAAAAAGTTAAAAAAAATTAAAAAAAAAAAAAAGTTACCTGAATTTTCTTGTAAACTCTCCAATTTGGGGCCTACTTTACCTCTCATATTTATTTATTCTTTTCTCTCAAAGTCTGTCACTGCTAGTCAGTTCTTAAGATTCGCTATTACCTCTCCAAGGTTAGTATAGTTTCTGTTACTCCTGTGGCTTCTTTAGCTTTTCACCCAATTCTTAAACCAACCTCTCATTACCAGCTTTCAGTCAGCGAAAAAAAGATCTTTCTCAGGTGATTAATTTTTTTTCTCCTATTACTTAGCCACTGGGTAGTATCCTATGCGATTCCTTATGACTCAGATGTTTAAATGGGGAGAAACAGTGATTTCTTAAGCATATTTTGTTTTTAAAAGACACATTTTTCTAGCTCCTTCCTCTTTTAAAATTTTAAGTAATTCAACCATTCCATTCTTTTAAGGAAACGTTTGGAGCATTATAACAAGAGGAGTAAAATGTAACCTTGGGATGCATGGGTAGCATCCAGGTTTTGTTTATTTGCTTGCTTTTTTCTTACTTGTAGCCAAAGTATATACCCAAAATTCAGGTTAAATGAACTTTTTTTTTTTGTTTGGTGGTTTTAGAGTTTTCTTCAGTATGGGAAATGTGTAGTAATCATTATTAATTTTATTTACCAACAGAGTGTTCAAATTAGTGAAGTATATCCATCTTCCTGAAGGTTATACCAAATTAGGACCGTATTATATAGATGCACATTATTATGAGATGTATACATTTTAGTATTGTTTTATTATGTCCTTTATCCTGCTTGGATTCTGTATTCTGTATGATTATATGTCAGTAAAGCTTGCTACATGTCCTATGATTTCATGCTTTAGTTGAATACAAAGAAAAGTATCTCCAGTTGTATAAGAAAAATTTTATGAGGTAAAGAGGATTAACAGTTGCTTTTACTTTGGAGATTATTCCACAGGCTTATTTGTTTAAGCAGCCTAGAGTTGGAGACAGGTTAATCTAACTTCAAATCGCAGTTCTGCTTGGCTGTGTGGCCTTGGGCAAGTTACTCTACTTCTCTCAGCGTCAGTTTCCCCACTTTGTAATATGATTCTGAGGATTACAGAACATGTGAACGCATCTAACAGAGCATTACACAGACAATGAATGTCTCTTCCTCAAGCAGCTCCATGACTCTTGTCACTGACTATATGGATTCAAATTCAGGTTTGGAGGGAACCTGAGTTAGGGAATTTCTATCTTCAATATCAATTGATTTTTTTTTTCAAGATATTTATATTAGTTACTAGGTCATAAATGCTTAAGATTAAGCACAGAAGTGATTTTGATAAGTCTCTGGCAAACAATCTGATCTACTACTGCCTAAGAAAGCCATCTTAAGATACTAGTCTTTTCATTTCCCACCACTTGTAGGTTATTTCTGATGTTGAAGAAGATGTTGGGGAACTGAGCAGAGAGAGTATGTGGGACCTTTCCTGTGAAACTGTGAGAGAGCAGCTTACCAATAGCATCAGAAAACAGTGGAGAATTTTGAAAAGTCATGTAGAAAAACTTGATAACCAAGGTAACTTCTGCTTAAATGCATTTAAAGGGAGTTGTGACACTTAATAAGCTCTTATTTTCCAGTCACATGAAAAGCCACATTTTGGGTCAGACCTGAAGTACTTCAGCTCAGTTTGGTGGTTTGAAAAGCAAGATTTTGCTAGAGGTTTGAACCTCACTAAAGTTTAACATGAGGTTTGAGCCTCACTGAGAAAAATACACTTTGCTTTCAAAGTGACTTTTCTTTGAAAAGAAGGTGCCATGTATCCATCTGCTCTGAATGTATATACAATTGAATAAAGTGAACTGATTCCCTTTATCTAAATCTTGAAAATCAAGAAATACTAATCAACCACAGCTTCCACCAGACTGAGTCCAGCACAACTAGATGGTGCCTGGCTACCACCACTGACTGCTCTGACAGGGATCACAATAGAGGGTCCTGGACAGAGTTGGAGAAAAATGTAGAACAAAATTTTCACTCACAAAAAAAGACCAGACTTAATGGTCTGACAGAGACTGGAGAAACCCGAGAGTATGGCCTCAGGACACCCTTTTAGCTCAGTAATGAAGTCACTCCTGAGGTTCATCCTTCAGCCAAAGATTACATAGGCTCATAAAACACAAGGAGATTAAATGGGCATATCAGCCCAGGGGCAAGGATGAGAAGGCAGGAGGAGAGAGGAAAGCTGGTAATAGGGAACCCAAGGTTGAGAATGGAGAGTGTTGACATGTCGTGAAGTTGGCAACAAATGTCACAAAACAATGTGTGTATTGATTGTTTAATGAGAAACTAATTTACTCTGTAAACTATCTAAAGTACAATGAAAAAAAGTCAAGCTTGGAAAAAAAAAAATTAATCAGTTTATTTTACTTAAAAAAATGCTTTTTACTCTTTTTACTACCTTTTATTCCTAGATACTTGCGTATTTTCTTAGGTTCCTAATAGTTAATTCATTTAAAAATTATTTTCAAAATAATAGGTGTTCATTGCAAAGTATCAGTTCAAAGGAGTATTTAAAATTGAACATTCAGGTCTCCATTTCCTGTACATAACAGTTTGGCCTACATTCTTATAGACTTTTCTCTACACATACGCAAATATTTATTAAAATATATAAAAATAAAAATCGAGTATTTTATATATTTTTGCAGTGTACTTTTTTTCACTTAACAGTGTATTATTGTAGCTTCCATTCCCTGTCATTATAGCTAGATCGACACAGATGACTGTATCTTCAGTATTTTATATAACGTTTGTGAGCTTTTAAATCAGGAAAGTTAAGGTTTCTGCTCAGTAAATAAAGCTGATTTGAAGAAAATTTATTCTAAATTATCAAAATCACAAATGTAGTGCTAATTGTCTTTAGTAGTAAAAGAGCAGTCAGCAAAATTATTAAAGTACCAAATTTAATTCATATGAGATTTTGTTAACTTCAGTCATTACCATCTATTGGTAAATAGCAAGTGCGTGGGGACTTCTTGTTTGTTGAATTTAATACCAGGGAGCAAAACTAATTGCACTGTACTGGTCTTCGAGGAAGCGTCAACAACAATGTAGTTTATGAGTTTGTTGATTATTTTTTTCTTCTGTGAATATAGTCAGGTTGTCCGTTTTTAATTAGGACATCATCTTAAGTAAATGTGGATTACAGATTAAATGTTGGTAATATAGTTCTTTTTGGAAGGATATCATTTAGTTCCAGAATAGTACGAATTTATAGTTGTCATGAATGCTTTATAGTTGATTTGCTTTAAAATTTCCGGTGTTAAAATAATGTAAATTTAATTTTATTGTAGCTTATGAAATTTTAAAAGACCAAAGGAAATAATTACTTTTACAAAAACCTATGAGATTCTAGAAAAAGAAAATTCTGAGAGCCTAGGTATTTAAATAGTATGTTCAAAAGCACCGTAAACTAAGTGGTGGCTGTAAATCTTGGTCAAATTACTGGGTTTGTGTTAGTTTCCAAGGTACACTTAGAAGGTTTTAATGATGAAGATGTAATTTCACGACAAGACCATGAACAAGAAACTGAAAAACTCGAGTTAGAAATTCAGCAGTGTAAAGAAATGATTAAAACTCAGCAGCAACTTTTACAGGTAAATGTGAGTTGTTACCTTTTAAAGCTGTGCACCTCTATGAAAGGCCAGATTTTTACTGCATGTTACTAGATTTTTAGTCCTTTATTTTATAGGATCTATAGTTTCTGGCATTTTTCCCCATCTACACTAAATCCTTCTCTTCATGCTATCAGATACACTATATGCCATTCCTTGAATAGTCGGTGCTTTGTCAGTCGGGGTAATAGCATTTGGGAAATGAGAATCCTTAGTTAACTTTCTGATTCTTCATAATTTCTATCCTTTCCCTAAAGTTTGACCTGCCTTCCCATGTTTTTATTTCAACTTGTTGGGCTGTTGCAGCAACTCTTTGAAACTTACTATGTTTTTAAATTTAATAGCAGCAGCTTGCCACTGCATGTGATGATGATACCACTTCTCTACTGCAAGACTGTTATTTGTTGGAAGAAAGGGAACGCCTCAAAGAAGAGTGGTCTTTATTTAAAGAGCAAAAAAAGAATTTTGAGAGAGAAAGACGAAGCTTTACAGAAGCTGCTATTCGCCTGGGATTGGAGGTATTTTAAACATGGAATTTCTTTTTAGAGCTTTTGGAAATTCTGGGTAGGCCTCAGTAGAATGCTTTTCAGTTCTGCTTCATTGTTTGCTCTCCAGTTTTTTTTTTTCCCCCTAAGGTAGTTTTACCAGTGATCTCAAAAATAACTTGAAATGAAAGGAAGGCTAAGAACATGAGCTATTATAGAAGGATGTCTTTTTGCTTTTCTCAGATTTGGGAATTGAAATTTTTTCTTTAAAAAACTATAAGCATTTCATTATCCTTTTCAGATTGGCTTTCAACTGGTGTTTAGCTTTGCGCAAGAGATCTCTTTTGGGCATCTCTTTATCTAGAGATCTCTTTTGGGCATCTCTTTACAGTCAGTAGGTGTCATGTCAGAAGACCAAACCAAAAAAACCAAACCTTTTGCCGTCGAGTCGATTCCGACTCATAGCAACCCTATAGGGCAGAGTAGAACTGTTCCATAGGGTTTCCAGGGAGCAGCTGGTGGATTCGAACTGCTGGACTTTTGGTTAGCAGCCAAGCATTTAACCACTGTGCTACCAGGGCTCCAGAAGACAGTGCAATCAAAAGTATGTTTGTTGTTAGAAATAAAAAAATAAAGGAAATACAGTAAAAAATAAAGCTCCCTCTCCATCTATAGTCTCTTTCCAGGGTTGTATGCATTGATAGTTAACAGTTGGGATTGTCGTATATTCACTTTTGCAGCTTCCCTTTTTTTACTTAGCAATGCATTCCATACACATTTCCCCTTCAAAAATTATAGGAGTAATGCCTGAACATGATTTAAAAAAAAAAAAAAAAAAAAAAATTCCATGCAAGAAGCTATAAAGTGAGAAAATCTCCTTCCCCCATCCTCAGATTCATTCCCCAGAGGTAACCACTGTTAAAGTTTCTGTTCGTAATTCTTCTGGCATGCACTATTTTTAACTTAAATATATTTCAAGCTTTTTCTCTCGATATGTCTGTTGATTCCCGACTAAGAAAGATAAGGAATTAGCATCCTTATAGTTCTTCTCACCTACACTCTTCCTCTTGCACATCTCCTGATTTCTTAATAATATTGTTACTTTTGTTCTTCTTGTAGCCTTTTGTACTTTAAATGAATAGTATGCTTAATACTTCTGTTTTATGTTTGTTCAGCTTCAGACAGCATCAGTTTATTCCTGCAAGAAAAGATGAGGAAATTCTTGAATTGGAACCGTTTGTTCCACTTCTCTTGCCTCTTTACTTCCAGTTTTTGTTTTTGATACTGTTTTTCATTTTTAAAAGCTATCACATTTATATTCTGTTCTGTAACGTAATCCAGGTATAAGTACTTTGTCTAAGCTCAAGACTTAAAAACTGAAAACCAGGAGACAACATTGCTAACATCATGATTATGTAAATATGATTTGTCCTATAACCAAATATGTTTGTTTGGATACATAGAAGAGAAAATATTCTGTGTTATTAAGACTTTGCCACCTGGAAGAGAATCTTCCATGTATCAATATCTAGTGGACTCTACTTTCTTTGTAGCTTCCTTTATGAGTTCCTGAATCAGATTCAGCTGCCATTTTCTTGTAGCTCATGTTACCTCTTTCTCAGGTTTCATTTTTATTGTGCTATATTATTCCTTCTTGAGTAGTTTTTTAATAAGTAATGCATGAGTGTTAAACATTCTGAATTCTGGAATATCCAAAAATATATTTATACTTGATTAGTTTGGCTAGATACAGAATCTAGATTCAAACTTGTCCTTCAGTACTTTGAAAGAATTATTCTGTTTTTTTCTAGTGCTTGGTTTTGCCAATGAGAAACCTGATTGATATAAAACCGACATTACTTTGTAGATATCCTGTGTTTTGTTTTTTCCCTCTCTCTGAAACCTTTTGGAATTTTTGTTGTTGTTCTTAAAGTTCTAAAATTTTACCAGGATACATCTAGATATGGAGATGGCTCCTTTTTAGCCTGAAGATGCTATATTTCATCAGTTTAGGGAAATTTTGTTCTATTCTTTGTTTTTTTTTTCTTTGACCCCTCTCTTGCATTCTTGAACTGCTACTAGACGAATGTTTGACTACCTGAATCTATCTGTAGCTTGTCTAAATTCTGGAATATTTGCTCAACTCTATCTTGTGAATCACCAACCTAGTCTTCAACAAGGTCAGTTTTATTATTCATCTGCTTAAGTTTTTATTTCAGAATTCTTCTTTTTAAATTTCTAATAATGTCCATATCTTTGCTTTTTTTGAAGAGCATTATATTATTTTACAGATGCTCATAAATCTGTCTGATAATGTGTTACAAAGCTCTTAAAAGATTTCTTCCATCTCTTGAATTATTTCTGTTATTCATGGTCAGTTCTCTTTATTTATTTCTGCCTTTTTCTGTTATGCTGTTGGTGTCTTTCAAATGTTTAGTGATTCATGAGTCTATATTAATATTTATGAATGAAATGTTGGTTATTTTAGGTACTCACATGTTATTTCCTCCCCAGTTTTGAAAGTCTATTTCATCAGTAACCGTCTTTCTAAGGAAACAGAAACAGTTTGCACTAGCATTTTCCCCCATGTGATGGGATCACTGCCTCTGAACCCATTTCCCCACATTACTCCAAGAAATACTTTTACTGCTTTGATATCACTTGCAGTTTCCTGGTGCCTTCCCCTGCATATGAGGGTCTACCTGCCCCTGGCCACCAGGGGCAGTGAGGGATGCGAAGGATGGATGGGAGACCTGAGGAGTGGGGAGGAATTTGGATTAGAACTGTCAGCAGTTCAGAAGGGAGAGATTTGATATAATCTACATGTGCCCTCTTGTGGTTTAGTGGTAGGGCTTACTAGTACTAGTAGATGGCTGGAGGATGAGAAAAATGCTTGATGAAGCACATATCCTTTTTTTTTCGAGAGACTGAGTTACAGTGTAGGATATTTTTCTCTTGTTTGTAATTTTTATAATGTTGTATGTGTTAAAAGTTATACTAACATTCTGTTGCTTTTTTGCATTAACATTTGCAGTTGTTCAAAATTGACGCGGAAATAGTGATTAGTTGGTTTATTAGGTGAAATTAGTGAATTGATTTTTCATATATAATTTTCTCAAATGAAATATTTCTTGTTTTTCTAGATTAATTTATTTGAGAAATATAACTATCTAGACAGCCACAGAGCAAAATAGGTAACTAGAGAAATTATGTGAAATGGCAATTATGTGAATGTTAAGATACTGATCGGTATTTCCTGGTTTCCTTGTTATGGTAGAGAAAGGCATTTGAAGAAGAAAGAGCCAATTGGTTAAAGCAACAGTTTTTAAATATGACTACCTTTGACCACCAGAACTCAGAGAACGTGAAACTTTTCAGTGCCTTCTCAGGAAGTGAGTACTTCAAAAATTCTTTTATCTGAACATGTACACAGATAAAATACTAGAAATTATTAATATAAAACTTTGGAGATCACCAATAAGAGCTCTCCAACTGGAATTTAAAATCCACTTTAATATTCTATTATAATCAGAGTGGACATGATGGCGGGATGATGCGTACCAGAAATAGCTTTTATTATAATTATGGGAAGTTTTTTTATAATTTACAATCTAGAAATATTTTTAAAATTAGAACCTTCTAAATGTTTATAGAATATGCATGACAGAGATAGCAACATTAAATAGACTAGAATTATAGGGCTGGAATGGCTATTTAAGTTAATTTGACTCACATAGAACTGTAAATGAGTCATTCTAGTTAATTGTCTTTATCATATTTAATACCTCACTAAATATACCGCCTTTTTTCCTTTTTTTTCTAGCAAGTTCTGATTGGGACAATCTTACAGTGCACTCGAGGCCACGGCAAAAGAAGCCTCACAGTGTGTTTAACGGGTCTCCAGTTTGCACATCTAAGCTTACTAAATCTCTTCCTGCTTCTCCTTCTACTTCAGACTTTTGCCAGACACGTTCGTGTGTATCTGAACATAGGTATTGATCTATAGGTGATCTTTTCACATATTTTTAAAAATTACTAGAGTTGCACTGCTAAGGAAAAGTTGGCATGTCTGTAATATTAGCAATGGTAGAGACTTCGGAGAGGAATTTAGTAGATTGATCCATTCATTCTACAAATATTTATTGGGTATCCATTATAGGAATCATACTTAAAAAACAAAAACAAAAAACTGAACCCGTTGCCGTCAAGTTGATTCCAACTCATAGAGGCCATATAGGACAGAGTAGAACTGCCCCATAGGGTTTCCAAGGAGCTGCTGGTGGATTCGAACTGCTGGCCTTTTGGTTAGCAGCAAAACACTTAATTACTGTGCCACCAGGGCTCCTGGTATCATACTAGGTGCTAGAAATACAATAGTGAAGAAGATAGATGTGGTCTCGGCTGCCTTGGGCTAAATTATGTAATGTGTGTGCTTTTATTTCACACTTTTATTTTCATACTTAGTATAGTCTTATTTACAGGAGTTATTTAATATTTTAAGTAATGTAATTATATTAAATAGAAGCATATTGTTTTAACACTTCGTGTAAAGTACATATTTTAAAGTTTCTTCTGGTATGCCCATTTTATTTGATGCTGAAGGGCAAAGAACTGAGAGCAGCCTCCTCATCTTGAGCTTACAGTGAAAAAGAATCTGCCCAAGGATGACAGTGTAAAAAAAAAAAGTTGCTCCTTGCCCCCAGGAAGCCCATACATTACTCTTAACTGTTGCATTTTGGTCTTCTGTCTCAAGTTGTTAAATCATTTTTTGGTGGGGGAACATTTTATTGTGCTGTAAGTGAAAGTTTACGTAGTATATTAGTTTCTGATTCAGTAATTCCTACACAAATTGTTCTGTGACATTGATTGTAATCCCTGCAATATGTCAGCATGTTCCCCATTTCCACCCTGGGTTCTCCGTTCCTGTTCGTCCAGTTTCCCTGCCCCTACCTGCCTTCTTATCTTTGCTTTTGGGCAAATGTTACCCTTTGGATCTGATGTAGTTGATTATTCTATGGAGTATCTTCCTTATGGGTGTTATTGCTTATTTTATGTTGTTGTTGTTAGTAGGTGCCATTGAGTTGGTTCTGACTCATAGCAACCCTATGTACAACAGAAGAAAACACTGCCCACTCCTGTGCCATCCTCATAATCATTGTTATGCTTGAGCCCATTGTTGGAGCCACTGTGTCAGTCCATCTCGTCGAGGGTCTTCCTCTTTTTTGCTGACCCTCTACTTTACCAAGCATGACGTCCTTCCCAGGGACTCATCCCGCCTGATAACCTGTCCAAAGTATGTGAGACAAAGTCTCGCCATCCTTGCTTCTAAGGAGAGTTCTGGCTGTACTTCCGAGTTAGATTTGTTTGTTCTTCTGGCAGTCTATGGTATATTCAATATTCTTCACCAGCACTATAATTCAAAGACATCAATTCTTCTTCGGTCTTCGTTGTTCATTGTCCAGCTCTCACATGCATATGAGTCAATTGAAAACACTATGGCTTGGGTCAGGCGCACCGTAACCCTCAAAGTGACATCTTTGCTTTTTAATACTTTAAAGAGGTCTTTTGCAGCAGATTTTCCCAATGCAGTGCATTGTTTGATTTCTTAACTGCTGCTTCCATGGGCATTGACTATGAATCCAAGTAAAATGAAATTTTATAGACTTGTCTATTACTTGGCTCAAAGGTGATCTCCAGGAGTGGCTTCAGTTCCATGTTAGAAGGGTGTCTTGAGGCTATAGTGTCGGTGGTTCCCCTGGTCTTTATCAGACCAGTAAGTCTGGTCTTTTTTATGAATTTGCATTTTGGTCTACGTTTTTGTCCCACTCTAAATGGGACCTTCTTTTGTGTTCCTGATCAGCAGTTGGTAGTGGTAGCCAGGCACCATCTGGTTCTTCTGGTCTCAGTCTAGTAGAGGTTGTGGTTCATGTGGGCCATTAGTCCTTTGGACTGATAGCTTCCTTGAGTCTTTGTTTTTCTTCACTCTCCTTTGCTTCAGACAGGAAAAGATCAATAGATGTATGTATCTTAGATGGCTTCTCGCAAGCTTTTAAAACCCCAGATGTTACCACAGTAGGTTGTAGGACATTATCTTTATGAACTCTGTTATATCAGTTGACCTAGATGTCCACCAAGACAAGTCGTTAAGTCATTTTTTAAGATAAAATGTCTATACTTCAGAATCTATTCCAAGATTAATTTTGAACTAAGCAGAAGAAGTAGATAGAACATTCCTAGTGAAATAGAGAGGAATAGAAAAGAGCAAAGGGTGAGTTAGAAAATGTGGTGGTAATCCCTTCCCCGTTATTTTGACACAAATTTCAGAAATCATTTTATTCATAGACTATTTTAGTCTCTATTCGTAGGTCAAATACTGTTCTAAGGGTAATGGAAAAGCATTGGAGAGTTTTAAGCAGGAGAATGTAAAAATCTTAAATTTTAAAAAGATTACTCTTTATTTTGTGGAAAACAGATTGTTAGGGGGCCAGTAATATAAGCCAGAGATCCAGTTAGGAGACATTATTGGAGTTGAGATGAGAGATGATGGTCATTCGGACTAGAGTCGTAACATGAAGAGAAATGCCTAGATTTGGGATAGTTTTGAAATTAGAGCCAATAGATTGACTGATGGATTAAATGTGGGAAGTGAAAGTTTACTTACTTTACAGTCAAAAGATGTAGACTCAGAGTATTTTCTTATATAGAATATTATTGAAATCTCCCAAATTTGACCAGTCAGAACTATCTATATAAATACAGACACAAATTCTAGTCACCATTTACAAATAATGCATTTTATATTTAAGATACAGCATAACATAGTTGCCTCAGTTACTTTTATGTATTTTAAATTTTTACATAATAATTTTTGTGAAATATTTGGCATACATATTTCTCGAACACATTTTGTGTGTTTAATAAAGATAAAAAGTCTGTAGCAACCTATAGTGCCTGCATCATAGGGTGTTGTGAGAATTAAGTCAATATCTGTAAAGCACTTAAAACAGTACCTGGTCCATTGTAAACATTCAGTAACAGACTAAAAATAAAAATATATGTAAACATAAATAGACTATAAAATGTTTTTCTGTTTCTTGTATTCTGAGGGCTAAGTAAACAACATCAGTGGCATAGAAACAGAATTTTGGGGCCTTAAACACTGTTGAGCTATTCGCCGTTACTGGCCTCCAGGGAGAGGGCAAACAGAAAAGAGTTGTGTAACTAGTTATCAGTAAAGAAGCTGGGCAGCTTGACATGGTTTCTGGAAATTTTAAATTATTTGGTACACTTGGATTCCTTGCTCTTGGAGCACCTTGGATAATAAGATTACAGCAAAATAATTATGAGTATTTTATAGCTAATTTCTAAAACTATATCCTCATTGTTCTTTATACACTGGAATTTTATGTAAAGACTGTGCCTTGGATTCCGTGCAGGGTAACTTGTATACTGAATTACTTAATGGTACTTAGCTGATTATTGCTGTCATCTGAGATGGTTCTGAGGTACAGGGATTCTGAGGGCTGAATTATAAGCAGATTCTTTTTTATAAGTATTAGCAAATAAGTGTAAGCAAATTTCTTAATTAGGTTTGGGTTTCGATTTTTAGAATTAAAAGCAACCCCCCCGCCCAGCATTGCCAGATTTTTAGAATTAAAAACAACTTTTATTTATTTATTTTTTTAGGATTGCCACATTGTGAGGTCGAGTTAGTGAACCAAAATCACAAAAAAGGTACATTTAGGAAAAATATTTTTGTGGAAAAAATTACATAAGATATTCAGTTGATAAAAATGTATTATTCAGTTCTCAACTCCATAGATTTTAAAATAATCTTTTAAACAGATTTCTTTGTTTTGAAGCTGGCTGCAAAGCATACCTATCAGATTGTGTCCCTGAAGATAGGAGCTGGTGTCTATGCTCATGCAGTAAGCCTGTTATTGCCTAAAACCCAAAACCAAACCCATTGCCGTCGAGTCAATTCTAACTCATAGCGACCTATAGGACAGAGTAGAACTGCCCCACGGGGTTTCCAAGGAGCAGCTGGTGGATTCGAACTGCCTGCCTTTTGTTTAGCAGCCAAGCTCTTAACCACTGTGCCACGAGGGCTCCTGGCACTCAGTTAATTGAGCACTGTTGTAAATGCTTAATGTGTATAAACTCATGTAATTCCCACCACAACCCTATGAGATAGGTGGTAGTAGTATCCCATTTTACAGCGGAGGAAGCTGAAGAACAGAGAGGTTTAACTTGCCAAAAGTAACAGTAAGCATTCAAGCTGGAATATGAACTTAAGCCATCTGGCTTCAGAAGTCTGTGCTCTCAACCACTTTTGTAGTCACTCATTAAATATCTGTATGGCTGAATGGATGGCTAGATAAAAACATGCATGAACAAATAGACAAGTAAAGAAGGAAACCATGAAGATACTGGAAAATAGTGGTAGAAAGGTGGGAATCTGGGGAATATTAGTTTTCAAAACCCGTATGTCCTGTACCTACCTTAAACTTTAGTTGGGCGTCATACTTCAAAATAGGCTAAAGAGATAAATAGATAGATGGATAGATAATTTGAAATACTTCTGTTTAATGTCCTTAACTGGTGTGTCATGAAAATTTACTTAGTACAAGACGAAAAAGTGATCAGACTTTAGACATAATAAGATCTACTTTTCTTTTCCCAACAGTTCAAGCAATCTACTGAATATAACTCCTGAAGAAACTAAACCAAATCAGGTTGGAAGAGAATGTCTAAATCAGACATCAAGTGTGGCATCCAGACCTGAATCACAGGAAGGTTACTACAGTGGATGCTCCTTGGCTTACACAAATTCTCATGTAGAAAAAGATGACTTACCTTAGGCATGTGGACCAGAATTCTCTTCATTCGTATATTCATAAACTTTGACATCTAAGCTGAAACAGGCTGTGTCGTAAAGTCAGTCATCTTTAATAATGTAAGAAAGCTGGCCTGAGTGGTTTGGACTTCCCTGTCCTCCCCCAAAGAGCTAAAATTTAAATCTATTGAAAAGGATATAAAAGCTTTGGATATGTATTTTTAGTAACAGAAGCAGCATCTGGTTCTGTGAATAAAGGAATGTATAGATGTTTGGATGAAAGCAAAAGCACTAGAATGAGTTTCCTCTTATGGGTATTAAAAATAGCACTTTTAGGGAAACTGATTATTGTAAATGTTTAATTTTTGTCTCAAATATAGTTGGCATTGGAAGTTTAGCCCTTTCTTGAATGTATACTGTAGATTTTTAACAAAGCAAGTTCTATATTTATTATGTTTAGTGTGATTTGAAATTACCTCTTTCATATGTTTTAAATAAAGTGAAATTTATGTATTTTTAGTATATAGATATACATGATTATGTTAAGAGATTTTAAGACTTAAAAATTTTGCATATCCATAATTATAGTATTCCATGCAAATAAATTTTTTTTAGTGATATTCTGTTTACAGATGTATTAGGGCCATTGCTATATTACACTTAAGAATTTTTTGAACCTATCTGGGCAATAAGTGTTCAGAAGTTATTCCATGAAGCCAAGTACTTTAGATAACATTATATTTTAGAGATTTTTACAGCATTAGATTTTTATTTAATATATGTAGGATATTATAATTTTAAAAAGGATTATGATTATAGAGTAATAGGGGCATGACAACAAAAGTACCTTTGTACCTTTGGGGAAACAATTTAGGAATATTGGTTTTAAGATATTTGGATGACAGAAGGTATGAAGATATTTAAGATATTTGGATGGTCATATTTTCTTTATCAGATGGGTACCAGTACAGTAACATCTGTACCAGCTAGGACTTTGTATAATGACCAATAATTTTTGAATAATTTTTCAAGAGGTATTTACCACTAATGATAGTGGAAATATGATAATGTAAAAGCATCTGATTTTATAATCCAGATATTATGATGCTCTGGAAAAACTTGAGTCACTTCATTCTCAGAGCACTCTTAAGCTCTCGTCTCTTGACTGTTTCTGATTGCATGTTTCTTCATGGAAAGTATGTTGTTGCTGTTGACAGTAATAATAATAAATATGGATGCAGGCTTTTTTCCAGGATTTTCATCAGAAAGTTTTTAAGTGCCTAACCCTACTCATTTCTGTACATAGACACCTACACAGATCCAGTCGTTGCTTGGTATTGCCCATCTGCCTTCCTGTTTTCTAGCAGTTCAACCACTTACATACACTCACGCTATTGTGGCTGTTTCACTTAAATCCATCATATTAGGAGGGAAAAAGCCTATTTTTGTCATCCATTCACTATCACTCTTTGGAGTTGTGTAGCAGCAGCCACTTTTTTTCAGGCTTGGTAGAATATCATTTAAGAGGATCTCATGTGGCATTAATGAAACTACTCAAACAGTAACCACATTCGTTGTCTCAAAGAGCAGGCTCTTGAACAAAAAGTCAGTCACTACTTTCAGCTTGATGCATGATCACTTATTTACTGTTTAAAATATTAGAAGTGTTACAAAATTTCGTAGATAGTACCACATTCCCAAGGAAGGAATAGCTGGTGTTTAATTTTTCTTTTGCTACTGAACAAAAAAGTGGTCAAAGAAAGGCAATCAGAAGTTAAAAAAAAAAAAAGGTCAATGATACATTTGTCAAGATCCATCTTTTTCCCAGGAGTTTCCATGATGCACTTTGCCAGAATTGAGCATTCTAATTTTTAAAGTAAATCTTTTATTTTGAGGCATACTATATTTCTAGAAAGCAGCATATGGTTTTTGTTCCCATTTTAAAGCTAGCTGGATTCTCATTATTGGAAAGGAGAATTCCTTGAGATTTACTTTAAAATCTAAGGTATGAAAGAAGTAAAACAGCAGCCAGGTTCATTATACTTTTGATGTTCTCATTAATCTGCTAGAAGTTATATGTTATACCTAACAGCATCACTTTGGTTTTGCTGTACATTCCAACTCCAAAAAGATCCCCAAACATCCCTAAGCTTCCCAGGATGTTGGTAATGGTTTCCATGCTGGAAAACACCTGAGTCCACACTTAAAACTCCGGGAATTTTGTTTCCCTTCCCTTTCAGGGTATTTGCAATGTACTAATGATAGAACTGTGCTGCAGTCCTACATGGCCATGACTAGGTTGTGGTTCCGTAATGTATTGCAGCATGAAAGTTCTCCTGATAATCTTAAATGTTTCTTGTTTATCAATAAGTAAATCTGATATTTTGTACCTCAAGTTTGTTTTTACATGACATACCCATTTTGAATTTTCAAAGCATAAAAATGACAAAATTTGAGATAAAATTTTTGTTTCCTACTTTTAAGTTTTGTATCTGTAATATATGATGATGAGAGACTTAATAGAAGAATCAATGACCAGAAAGTCATGACTAAAATTTAAGTTCACAGATAAGTTGTTTTCTTATAGAAGCAACGTATTAAGTGATTAGATTCATAAGACAATCTACAGCAAATTGTTTACCTCATGGTATAATTGAAATCCTATAATTCAGAAGGAGGTCTGTATTTCATACCTTAGCTTACCTGCATGTTTCGTAGGTTTGTGGTAACATGGGTTTTTTTGGGAAAAAACATTTCCTGGTGCATGATGAGAAGGAGAACGCCCTGGAACCCAGTCTTGACCCTCTCTGGTAAGGTGTTTGAAAGCCCCCGGCACCCCAGGAGAGGGAAGACAAAAGCTTTGCAGTGTGTGTGCTCAGAACGCTTGTGAATTAGCAAAATCCTTATGTGATTGCTCTGTTGTAAAAATCTTCAAAGTATGTTGCCTGATTGAATGTTAATCATGTTCTTATTTCTAAAATGGATTTAAAGTGTGGGTCATGGAAGTTTAGTAAATATACTTTTTCCTATTTTTTGTCCTAACTTTTTTTCAGTCTTTTGGTCATTTATAAAGGGCATACTGTATGTCAGGGGTAAGTAACTACATTCTAGTTACTGAGAATAGGAAGACAAGCACATTCCCTGCCGTTGAGAACATCCAAGTTGAGTGGAAGACCAGCTACATAAACCTAAATTGTAATAAACTGTGGTGAATGCTAGTCAGACATTCAGTCTGTTACTAAAACTTGGAGTGATTGTTCTGCTCTAGAACCACATATCCATAACAGTGATGTGTCTAGGCTTCCAGTTAAGAGTCTTTGCATTGTTTTCTATGGGAAATACTATATGATAGTGTTATCGGTTTGTTTTGCTGGTTTTTATTTTTTGTTCTACAATCAAAATATGCTTGACCTGCAAAGCAGTAAAGGAATGTCACCCCGACAAGTACATTTAGTATTACCTAGTAGAAAAAGCATTTGCAAAAATGTAGGCAAGGATAATGAAAGGTTATTTTAGTCCTTTTTCCAAATACAGTGTCTTTTCAGGTGGATGTAAATTAAAGCGGAGTGGATATGGATTAAATTATTTGGTCCATATAAAAACTTGACTGGTTAACTTTTTTTAAAAAAATTTTTAAGCATTTATTTACAAATAAGTGATTTCAGAGGCCTCAGGAGGTACTGTAATGCTAGTGACATACAATCCTAGTAAAGATTCACCTTAGTATTCATATTTAATATTCAGAAATAGTACCTAACATAATGGCTTAACACATTGTAAGTACATCGTATTTATTATTCAGAAATATGAAACACTGATGAAACTTATCACATTTCTTCATTGGCGTGAATAAACTAAATTTCAGGTTAGAATCCTTAAGCTTTTTCAAGAATAGGAACTGTTATGTTAACGATTGTTTTGGATTTTGATTTTGCATTCCCAGCCCTATCCAGCTTGGTTCTTTGCACACAGTATTTGGATAGAATAAGTAACAAACACTAAATCACAGTGGCTTAAAACAAAAGTTTCAGTTCTTATGAAATGTCCAGTGTGGATTGGGCCGTCTGGCTCTATCTTTGCTGTGGCTTCTGGGACACATGGCCCTAATGTTGCCAAATCGGGAAGAGTGGGCTGGTGGATGGTGCAGACCTGGAAGAGACAGACACGCCTCCCCATTGACATTGCTTTGGCCAGAGCCGAGGCACATGGCCCAGCCTAACTGCAAATGTGGCTGGGGGGAGAGAGCATGGAGCCGCCTGGTGAGCACTGCCAGTCAGTCTGCCACATGATGTCAGTGCTTTGATAGTTCATCTGGTCGTTTATTTTAAAAAATGGTTTAAAACTTATTACTGTGTGCAAGGAATTTATTATTAAAGCTTCTGTTAATTCTTGGAAAGAATGTATTTAAAGCTTCTCTTACAAGCCTAACCTTTTCATAATAAATTTCAAAATGTTCAAATGGTAGTTTTACACATTGTTATTAAAATATATTACAGTGTACAGAACACACATTTTATTTGCTCAGTAACCGCATGAGAATATTAATCTTCCTGTTACTTCGTAACAGACTCAGATGTTCAGTGACAAACCCGAGGTCACACAGCTAAGAAGTGATAGAATCAGGTCTTAAAAACCCAGATCTGCCTAAATTCCAACTCCACACTGTTACAGTACCTTCTGGTTTGACTTAAGTGAAATGGTTCAGTCTTAGCCCACTAACAACCACCCTTTAATCTACACTGAAGGTATTGATCATTTGGTCCATGTGCAAGGCTCACCCTTGTTTTCGTGAATGGTTGCTCTCGTAATACTGTTCAGGACTGGACCTCCACCTTTTCAAGATTAAGGTATTAAGGACCTAATTGAAATAGCTAATAGCAAATTAGAGACCATTGAGTAATCCCAAAATACACTACCTCCTCCTCTTTCCACCTCAACAGCCTGCTTTTTCTTCCCTGCGTGTACAGGCTGCGCTACTGCTCCTTCACTCTTGGCAACAGTAGTGTGTGCCGTGTCCCCCTGTGCCGTTCACAGTGACCAGAAGTACTTTGTTTTGTCCAAAGGTCCAGTAACTTTTCGCAAGTATTCCGTATGAGAAATAAATGTTAAAGTAGTGGAATTGAGTAATGTGTCTACTTCTACACAACTAGAGAAAGTATAGTTGTTTGCAAGGCAGCTAGAGGCTTTCTAATTTCCCTCCTGCATCTGCATTTGAATAATCGATTTTCTAGTTTCTGATCTAGACAGTTCCATTCCCGGTTGCAGTGCTCCATTAAAGCAAACCATGCCCCAGCCCGGCGTATTGATGAGAAAAAGAGTAAACCTGCTTATTCCCTAAAACCCTGACTGATCGTAGAACCAGCCCTTGGATCAGATTCTATTATATATGATACTAAACTGAGGACCAGTGGGTATCCTTAGGTTCAGACCCTGCTAGTTCTAAGTCCTGACAACTAGTCTTCTGTTAACCCAGCTAGTTTTCTGTTAACCCAGATATAGTTATTACTCGGTTATAATGTAAAAGGAGCCCCTGAGTGGCACAAATGGTTAAGCAGTTGACCACTAACTGAAAGCTTGGTGGTTCGAACCCACCCAGAGACACCTCAGAAGAAAAGCCTGGCAATCTGCTTCCAAAAGGTCACAGCCTTGAGAACCCTGTTGAGTGCAGTTCTGCTCTGACACACATGGGGTTGCTATGAGTCAGAATCAACTCCGCGGCAACTGATTGGTTGGTAAATGTGTTGTAATTGCACTGCATACCTTGAGCTTTTTTGTTCTGCAGTTCTCAGCCCAGAACTGACTCCTCAGAATAACCTTTCGCACTTCTAATTTTTGATATGTGAAGAGGGTCCGTCAAATGCGGTTCTCAATATATCACTCAGGCTGTAATACTTATGTGGAATATAATCAGTACAGAACGTTAGTTAGCCTCTTTTAGCCTTTTCTTCACTAATCCATGTTTTCTTGAAAACTGATAGATTTGACTTTTTTGTAATTTATTCCTTCTAAGCAAAGAACTATTAAATAATAGTCAAAATATTAAAAATTATTTGATCTCAGTGATATCAAACTTGCCCACACATGTAAATACAGTTCTCCAGATTCCAAGTTTAATGCTCCAAAGAAAAGTAGAAATCCAACAACTAGCCACACAAAGCCTTGGCACATATTTTAATTCTAAAGAACTTAGAGATGATGGAAAATTTTAACTGGAGTTTGAAAATTCAGCCTTGACTCTATTTCTGAAGCACTCTTGCTTATTTTTTATCAAGGGCAAAGATCTGAGGAAACTACTCATAAATGCTTTAAATTCTTTTATAAGAAACAAAGACTGGTTAATCTCAGAGGAAGACCCTGGACTTGGCAGTGAGACATTAGAAAGGGGTGTGTATTCTAGGGGACAGTTCCTCGTGGCCCGGCTTCAGTGAAAAATTTGGAGGCACATTGGTGTTGATTCATCTGTTTTCCTGGACTTGGTGACCTTTTGTTTTGCAGACCCCAAAGCACTCCTTAACTGGGATCCAGTAATTGTAACTACAGTGACTATAATATATTGGCCAAACGGAGACACTTTTGATAGTGAAAGGGGAAGCTATTCACAATTGGACCTGTACCACAGGTGTAAACTGGGATGAATGGTCACCTGTGTATGGCTGAAGGCCTGCTCCAAGTGACCCACTCTCACTTGAGTTTTGATTGTTGAACCCTAATCCCCTTAAAACTACATTCCTCAATTTGTGCCTCAGATACAGTTCCTAAAAGATGGAATCAAATTGTGGTCTATCCAAATATCCAGTCAGTTCTGCTATAATGCTTGTTTTATAAACGCAACACGAAAGTGAAAATTTGTTCCAGTGCAATTGGTATATTGGGAAACGAATTGAGTTAATGTGAATTTTTCACTTGGCTTATGCATGATTTCTTCTGTGAGAAACAGGAGATGAATGCAGAAAACCTGACCTACGTATTAATAGACAAAACATATGTATGCACACACCTCAAACATCTACCAGCCACATCGGTTTACCACGTGTTACCAGCAACACCCATCAACATCTGGCATTACAACTGTCCAGTTTCACATAACCCTCTTCCACCACTTCACAGTAACTCACAAGCTGTAAACCTTCCAACAATGCCCACTTTCACAAATTTAATGTCTTTTTCAAGGTCAAGTGGCATATTTATAGTTGTGTGCCATCGAGTTGATTCTGGCTTACAGCGACCCTTTAGAATAGTGTAGAACTGCCCCATTGGGTTTCCTAGGCTGTAATCTTTACAGAAGGACCTTTGGTGGCACAGTCGTTAAGCACTCTGCTGCTAACTCCAAAAGGTTGGTGATATTGAACCCACAGCTGCTCCCCAAGAGAGAGATGTTGGCAGTCTGCTTCCATAAAGATTACAGCTTTGAGTCAAACTCGATGACAATGAATTAATCTTTACAGTAGCAGATCACCAGGTCTTAGCTGGTGAGTTCCAACCACTGACATTTTGATTAGCAGCCATGCGCTTAACCACCGCACTCCACCAGGGCTCCTTACCATTTATAGTATTTATGTATTTCTTAACCACTTAATGGAGCCCTAGTGGTGCAGTGATTAAGAGCTCGGCTGCTAACCAAAAGGTCGACAGTTTGGATCCACCAGCTCCTCTTTGGAAACCCTGTGGAGCAGTTCTACTCTGTCCTGTAGGGTCGCCATGAGTCAAAATCGACTCCAAGGCAACAGGTTTTGGTTAACCACTTATATAAAACTGCTACTGCCATTTTTATTCCTATCTTTTTTGAGTCATTGGCAGGTTTTTGAGTGTTGTGCCCCGATCCCATTTTTCACAGAAGCCCCTTAGGGTGTTTTGTGTGTGTGCAATTTTGCATAACGTGATTTTTAGAAATGCGTATGTCACATGATAGCAGAACTAGAGCAGCCTTTTATCTCCCCATTTATAATACTCTGCTGATTGCCTCTGAAAATTCTATGCCAATTTAATCTGCACATCTAAGTCACAAACTTACTTGGGGGGCAGAAACTTCAAATTTCAAGTGGCTATCTAAAATACCTTGCTGTATGCCAGGCACTATACTAAGCAATTTCTATTACTTCTCCCAACAACTCTATAGGTAGGAGCCATTGTTAAACTCACTTTACAGATAAGGAAACC